TATATGTTGTGTATTTATATATTAATAAGAGTATCTCAAATAATTACTTTTTTAAAGCATGGAATGGAACCATTGTGGTCATTTAATTTCACTCCCTATATTTAAGGAAATCCCTTGGCTTGTTACTATAGCTACAGCCAATACATTAAGAAAAGCTTCTAAAACCCCATGCAGATTCAAGGCAACTTTTCACTATTAGAAAACTCAACTTTAGTGCAGACTCTTACTCTTTTGTAATATCCTTGCATCTTCTGCTAAGATATGATACTGGACAGAATTCTAGTCTGGAGGGACTTCGCTTTCAGCTACACAGTTGTGCTGAATACTATCAGTAGAGCTGAAAAAATCCTTTTTTTGTTTTCCAGAGTAATTTATTGTTGGTGATATAGATCACTAAAACATTGCTGCTTCTTTGTGCTATGTATCATGGTTGGAATGTTGTTTCCCATTTAAATAATATGAAGCATTACTTTTAATGTTCTGTTTTAGCCAATACAGTTTAAAAAAAAATAATATATGTATAAAAATCCCATAAAACAAAAAAACCCAAAACCAACCAAGCACACACACAACCCACACTCCCCCCCTTTCCCATAGTTTGTTGTAAGCAAGAAGATCTGGTCAGCTCTGAACCATAGGTCAAAGTATAACAAACCAACAGGACACTGCAGTGACCCAAGTCTAAATTTTGCACTAAAAATACTTTTCCTGTTACATTACCTTGGGACTGCAGTAATTAAAATGCGGATAGTCAAAGTTAGCTGTTGAGTTAACCTTCTATGTGCACAGGGAGCAGAGCAAGTTCAGTTTACTTCAGGAAGAGCAATGCATTTGGTTAGCTGCTCAAGTGAGTCACTATCCATGAGTCATATTAGGGTTCCACCCGCTCTAGTCCAAACATCAAGATTTCACACAAACCTTACAACTGATCTGCCGCCAGGGCCTCTAGTTCTGTTGTGTGGAACCACACTAAAATTAGAAGCTTTACCCTTTCTCAAAGCACACAACAGCAGGTTTTTCAGCTGGACTGCTTAAAAGAGCAGCACGTCCAGTATTTTTCATCAGCAGCTTTTTAATCCTTACAATTAAACCCATGCATTTCAGATATAAATGGCCTATGTCCACAAGTTCACGAAATCACACACCAAAACACTACTTCCTCTTTGCAGCAGATTTAAGCATTCTGCCAAGAAACTTAAATGACGCAGGTAACAAGGCAAACTTCGTGACCTTCATCCCAGTATATGGAAATAATCACCAAAATTGTAATTCAATAGCTAGAATGGAAATTGTAACTCTGGCAGTGAGGACCTTTTTTTTTAAGAAGTATCAAACTGCAGATAGCAAATTAAAAGTTTTATATTCTCACCATATAGAACAATTAGTCTTTTATCTCCACTTTCCAAGGCTCCCAACTGAACACGAGGTTTATCAAAGATCAATCATTGGCCATACTGGGTCAGTCTGACACAATGTAAATTCTAAATGAGGAATGCAGTATATACCACTTGAACATCCACAGAAGGCTTGACAAGAACCCAGAATTAGTTAAACTACAGAAGACAGGAATTAGCATGAGCTACTAAAGAATAAAAAACGTGTAAGAAAGAGCAAAAGCTGTGTTGAAAAGAGAACTTGCAGAATTCTGTTAAGCTCGTCTGGGATCCATTCCAAGTCTTTTCTTAACTGAGTAGGGCACAGAAGTTAGGAATAAGCTAACTGCTGATACCTGATGACAAAACTGAGGTGTCAAAAATACTGAGAATAACCCAAACCAGAAGAAATACATGGATTTAGACTTTTTAATTAAAAAGTTTCATAATGTCAGGTCATGTGCTTAAATGAATAATTTTCTTGGCAAATTGGAGTTCAGCTGTAAATAAGAGCAGGGGCATGAGATTGGGATGCTCAATCGTACTATGTGACAGACACCAAGAGCAAACGAGGACTTTATAACAGGAAAGTATTAATATATTCTTATACTAATTTATTTATATGCTGATGTGGTATGGTCTTTACCAGCTCATATTCAAGAAAAACTGAAATTAAGCTTTAAGTGGGCTGCTAAGTGATCAAAGCATAGACAGTGTGTCAGAGGAAAGGAGATAAAGCTTACCATGTTTAGTAAAATGAAGGCTACAGTACGATGGCTACCTATAACAGATTATATATAAATACCAGAGCATGGCATAAGAACTTTAGTAAGGACAAAGGAGTTATATTTAGGTATATTTAAAATAGAATTTAAGAGATGGTTGGTTGAGACAGGAAAGAACTCAATCTGTGATTCAGGAAACTCCTTCTAAGGTAGGTAGTGGACACAGGGAACCACAGAAGATGGCAACTGTTAAAACACACCAGATTAGCAGCACAAACTTATTTCCCTACCCAGCGAAACACATAGTATTAACACTTACTTTCAGTTGCACACATTTAAAATGTCAAATTCCAACTGCTTTTAAGCTTAACTGGAAAACTAATAGTAACGCAATGCAGCCTGCAAGGACTCCCTTTAGATCTTATTCTAATCCTGGTCACCACCACCACCAGGACTATTCTGTGCAGTATTGATCCCAAGTACCTGATAGCAGTCATAAGAAGCCTGAAATCTGACTGTTGCATACTGCGTATCCACTAACATCTCTTGAAGAATCATCTAAATGTCATCTGCAAGTCTTGCAACACAACAGAGCACAGGGAAACTAATTACCATCAGGTACCTGCAATTTCCATTGTGGTACACCACCTTTTTTCTACTGTTGAGACTCATATGTTAGGAAATAACGTGAGCATTACCAGCTCCTCCCTGCATTTTTAACACGGCATTTCTATTAAAGATAGTGTAACACTGAGTACTTTCATGTGCTTGTGGATTTTACATGCACTTGCTCAAAGATACGAACAACCACTGTCTTACTACATTAGGAAGATGTCAGAGTAAAGTGTAGTGTCTGCATGCTAATTAAACTGCAGGTTGTCAGAAGTCATCACGCTCACTGAAAAAACATAAGGTTTCATTGCCACTCTGGACTGCCAAGAGATGCTTTGCTGAAAGTCTATTCCTTTGTTGAGTCTAAGATTACATGTCTGAGAGGGTCCAAGGCAGCAAGGTGGACTGATTTTATACACTCCCCCAGCTTTCCTAAGGACACAGCATACCAAAAGGGAACAAGAGACTCAACTGTCACAGTAAACTCTGTTTTGAATATTGTTATGTATGTTGAGAAAAATAAGTTTTCAAGAACTTCATGCTGAGGTAAAAAACCAAGACCAGCTCAACTAAGCAGGATACAAAGAAAGATCTTACCATCATTTGAGCAATTAAACATTTGAGTGCTAGGAGGTGGTAACAGAGCTATTTAAGCAAGGTATTTTAAAGCCTAATACTTACCAGGAAAACATGCACATTGCCAGAAATAAACATGTAATAGAGTAATGTCCAGTACAGTTGTACTCATTCAGAGAAGCCATCCAAGAAAAGAAAAAGGCTGAACATACCACAAAGGATAAAAAAAGTTTTTATTATATTAGTAAGGGCACTAGTATGACTAAAAATAAACACTGTATATAGAAGCATACATAGAGACCTATCTATCCCGACTATTATCAAATTAATTGGAAGCAGTGCATCTTAAACAAACAAACAAAACCTAAGGACAAAAACTCCCCTAATGAATCCAAGAAATCTGTCATTTACAAATCAATAGCAAGTTAAAGCTTGAAATCCTTGGTGATGTTTCTTGACTCCCAAGCTTTCCCCACCAGATTTTCTATTGAACTTCAAGTTTTTAGATAGATCTTCATAAAGTGGAACAATTCAAGTAGAATACTTTTAGGAATTCCTGTCTAGACTTTCAAACTCCAGAGAAGGATTGTCTCCTCATATTAAGTTTAATGAAGAGAAGGGAAACCAAAAATTTTTATTCAGAATTATAAGAAACGAGAGCTGAGTTTTAACACTCACTTAATGCTCACCAGTAACATTTTCAAAGAGGTGAGAATCTTTGCTATACCTTCAGTTTTCATGTACCTTGTCCCCGCAATTAGAATTTAGCATGAGTCACTGCGGGAATTCTCCAGATTGGAACAACCAGTATGGGATCTACAGATTTGTAACTTGATTCCCACTCTTGGCAAATTTCAAATTAATTTACCAAAACAGATGTGAGGCATCAGAAATCATCATCAGTAATTAGGGGGGGAACAGTTACATTGTAGAAGAGGGACACTTACAATCCATCAGGCAACCCTCCCCCTCAGTACAGCTGAACAGACTTCTAAAAGTAATGTTACTATCCAAGACTGTAAGAAGTTACAGCTCATACAGGAATTGGCTTACTTTCATCTGAAACTCCTTTAACATGAAATAAATTTTTGGGACAAAAGGGAAAGTTTCTGTTCAGGTCATTTTAGCAGCAGTTACAGGGTCACAAGCCATAAAATTCCTATTTGATGAACCCAACTTTCAACCTCAAATGAAATGTAGTTTTGCTGTGCTTTCCTTCTTCTGCAAAGATGGGAACTCCAGTAGCCACACTTGTTCAGCCACAAATGCTTTTCAAGCCCTTTTAACCACAAACTCAATTGCTAGTTTAATTCTCTGAACCCCAGTTTTCTGAGAGGGTAATGCTATTGACCTTGATTTCCTTTCCTAAGGGATCAGATATGCATAGAAACGATACCATAATATAAACTTAATTCACTCTCTCATACTCTGTCAGTACCCTGCTGAAGAAGGGCACATACACAGCACTACTAATAGACCAGCGACCATTCTGTAGTCCTCCATGGAAAAGCATATCATGTGCAACACAAGAAGTCACACTTTCAGTGTGCTTTAACAACTGGAAAAAAACCCTGCAAAGAAGCCTGCAGAATTGAAGTTGACTTGCATCCACTCTGATTTTCTTTCCTGATGCCATGTTATCTCCCCTTTCTTTCAAAAGTGGATTCATTATACAATAATGAATGAAATAAGGTTTTTTTCTGGACAGAAGCCAATCTTGCCATTGCAATGGAATTTTTATTTCAAATACATTCTTACAATAAAGCTGTATTTTGTTACACAAGTACATAAACTCAGGAGACAAAAGATTCACGTAATCAATTTAAAAATACCAGGCTCATCTAAATTGCAGCCATTCCCATGAGTTTCCTAAACCATGGTAAGGATTTTTCAGGGCAACGGAAACAAAGATGTAAACCAAGTCATCTATGTAATTAAATTAATATCTGGGGAAATCTTGTAACAACATAGAAAAGTGTATCTGCCCATTCTTACGGCTTTTTGAAGCGTAGGGTGGCACAATTTTCTTTATAAACTCAGAAGTTTTTCATTGAGAGCAATCTGTGACTGTGTGAGGTTTGCCAAGTAGGTTACCATCAGCAAGTCCTGAGAGGAGGAAAAAAAAACCAAAACAACCTCACAGTGACGAGAAATACTAACAAAGATGATAGCCTATTAGGGAGTCAGATTTTCAACACCTGTAAAGCAGTGTACAATCAGCTACTAGGAATGCTTCCCTCACAGGAAGAAGGCATTGGTATTCCCAGAATATGAAACTCTGCCTGGGAAATTTTAACTCCGAGTTCACCCATGTTAACCAGGCAAGTCAAAGGGTATAAGCAAAATTAAAAATTAGTTCTGGTCTTGCAGACTGTGGCTGAGCAACACATTCAGAAACTTAACTTTTGCTTTCTAAAATTCTGTTACAGAAGTAAGGTAGCACACTAAAACCCTGCTCATGTCCTAAGTGTTATGCAAGGAGACAGAACTTCAGCTCAGGCAAAGGAAGCTGGCAAGTCACCATTTATCCTTGTAATCCATACTGCTTTAAGCTTGATAATTTGTATTGTCCAGTCCCTCTAAAAGAATTGGTGCTGGCTTTCAGATTACTTGCATAATTCCCAAGTACTTTAGAATTTACTCTCTCATTTGCAGTTGCTTTCAAGATTATTATGGTGAACTGATTTATCCACCTTCAGCTCTTAAAACATCAAATTACTGACACAAAAGGGCTGTATCTTAACATCTTTGTATGAAATCGGAGATTGTTTTGATCTCAGACAAATTAGTGTCTGTATGACAAATTGTCAAAATTGACGTCAATACACTGAAAAAACTGGATAATGAACTTACATTAATATTGCTGTTCAACATTGTCTCAAAGTCCTCTGGTGAAATCTTTGGCACCTGGTTAATGAGATCCATCAGGAAACGACCAACAGTGTTGTCAGCAGCCACTTTGCCAGACTAAGCATAAGAAACATATACTTCAACATGAGTAAAACTCAGGAAGTATGGCCCAGAGAGAAAATAAAAAAAACCAAGATGCATGAACTTCCATCAAACTTATTTGCTGGCTCATAAAAAGTTTGCCTTACCAACACATCCTCTGCATACTGCAGCACCATGGTGAGGGTGTCCTGAATCCTGGCTGATGCTGACCCTACCTGCTGTAAGTCACTTGACAAGCCAATCACTCGGTTAGGGCTAAAACAAGTCTTCATGATAAGATCCACTGAAATCAAAAGGAGGATCAGTAAAAAAACCTGTCACAGAAACCAGTTCAAATCCTCAACTTGTTGAGAACTTCACCAAGACAGTCTTATTTCCAGTGGAATTCCCAGAATGGCAATTTTACCAGGGTTAGAAAATCCCAACATCTAAATAGTGTCACAACAATGGCTATAGACAAAATAGGAAGAAAACATTCACCTCCTATCCGCTCTGTGTCATAATAAACATACTTCACTGTCAGAGGTGTGAACATCACGCCCATAGTTTTACCAGGGACTCCCATTGGGGCACTAGGGAAAAAACAACACAAAGTTTTCAGCATGGATATATTTAAGGGAAGAAGTAGTAATTTCCATCTCAATAATCTCTGTTAGCACTGAAGTGTAAACACGAATAAGTTACTCATTCTCACCAAAATCAGCAATATTAAGACCATGAATAACTGAGGACAGAAAATCAGTCTGGCATACTATTAATTGCTCATTTTCAACCAAGAATATTCCTAGCTGGTCTGACGTCAGCATGAATGCATGAAGAGCTAAGTATTGTCTTCTTAGCCACAATTCCTTCTTGCTTATAGAGCAGGTATTCTTCTATCCTGAAGTATTCCACACTTGGAGAAATCACTTAAGTAACAAACAAAAATATGACAGATTCAATTACAAAGCACTCTCAACACCTTTATTATTCCTGTTATTCAAAGTATCTGAAGTGCATTTATGCTTTAAGATGTCAAGGGAACAGCTTCCTTTTTGAAGACGTGCAGTAGACTTCCACTACCATTGGGGGTTTGTTCCTTGAAGAGGAGAGCTCTACAGTCAGTGCTAGGAAGAACAGTGAAGTGAAATAGGTTCGTATCTCAATATTTAACCTCCATTATTAATTGATAAAAATGGAAGGGATTAGGGGGAATAAAGACTAATCAAAAAGATGCTGTTTCAGTTGTCTTAACTGCACTAATCCTCCAAGTTGCATAAATAAACTGCCAAGCCATAAAACCAGTAACTACAGGCTAGCATTCTGACAGTGTGATGGAAGTTAGTGACATTAACACTAGCTATATGAATCCTGTGAAACGTCACAAGAATGTCCAGAACGCTGTTAATGAAGTCACAATTCCCCACCCCAACAAGGTAGAATAGTTAGGTCTTTCAACTTACATGCAGTGGTCAGGACATTCCAGTGAGAAGTAAGCCATGATCCCTGGGTCACTACTGTGTTTTAGTTACTGCATAACGTTGTCCAAAGTGGGACACTGCAGCCCACTGTGTTTCTCGTTGCCCTGATGCGGTCTCTTAATAATTCAGGTAACTCCCCTCCCAGAAATGCAGCCTCCCCGAGTACCTGACATAGGCTTTAATGCTCATGCGTGAATTCTGGAGACTCGTGTCCACAGTGAGATGGATTGGATTGTGTGCTTCGCGGCTGTAATATTCATGGATCAGGACAGAGTGTTCTGTGATGTCATGGCCTGTTGCATACCTTCAAAAAAACACAGGTTAAGGAGCCATTCTTCCAACACTCCAATGCCCAGTGTTTGTACTGCTGGTATTTGATAGGTTTTTATCCAAAACCATTCATTTCCAAACACTGAGCTGCAGAAGCATATTAAATACAACTGTTTTAACTAAGGAATTTGTAGCTTTATGGCCAGCTGTCCTAGAATTGTAGGAATTACAGACTAAGCATACCCATGCTCAAAACATGCACACGGCCAGTGTTGTAGTACCAGCCATAAAGAGTTGGTACAGTTGACATCAGATACCCAAGATTCAGTTATCTGACATTATGTTCTGGAGCAACTCTTTAATTTGGTGTAAATCAAAGGATGCCAAACAAATTTGGACCAAGTAGATCGTCCACAAAGTATCTCTCTGAAGGAGGAATAACTCGTTAATCTAGCTCCTTTAACTGCTCTGCAATTACATTCTCACACAGGAAAACTCCTGTCATCAGGACTGCACTTTGCTGTGCCATTTGAGGGTTGTTAAGATCTGCTCCACAGGAACAGAACTGAACTGTTCTGTAGGAACAGGGGAGCATGAAAAGACTAATGGAGCCATCCACACACTCAGGCACTGACATCATACTGATCTTGCTTCACATGCCACACACATATACTCCCACCTTTTCCCAGCAGAGCACTTCTCTGCATGCTCCAGCTGTTATCACAGATTGCTCCTGAGGCCTTCGGTACTCTAAACTACTCTTCTCCTTTCTTTCTAAACAGTTATCTTCTATGGTGCAGCTTGTATTACAGGTGGCTAAGTGCTTCTAAGAAAGCCATGCAAACATTCTCTGCCTCATCACTCCTCTGTAATATTTTTGCTAGAAGGAAACAAAACCAAACCCTGTACATCTCCAATACCATCTCTTCCTCTTACGAATTGCAGGAGCTTTACAACTGATTCTAAGAGTTGCAAGATCTTACTGTCACAAGCGTTAGTGCTTCTGCTTCTCAACCTGCGAGAAGGAGAATTACGTATTTCATGTAGTTAAGGGACCAAGTGAACGGCTTGCACGTTCTTGCAGGAGAACTTACCAGCCCAAGATGATCTCGCTAGGAGACACCTTCTTGTGCAACTCATACATGTTTTTGGCAAATTCCATATCGACTGCCACCTAAGACATGGGACAGGACCAAGTCACCTAGTTATAGGGATGCTGAACTCTTAGCCGCGGACAACACGGCCACAAACACTCAT